GCTAATTCTTAAATATACTTCACACAAAGGGCGTAAGGAAAAGAACCTTTTAATATTTGGATCCATTTGTCCAATCTATACTTATTTACCCTTTCCAGAAGGCTGAGCTGGATCCTGTGGAGGGAAAATAAAATGATCGTGGATCCAAAGGATTAAAATGAGATGTTGGAGAAAAATACTCTGTGTTTAACCATCGGGTTCTCGTAATTTCATTTCAGTTAAGTGTATGTGTTTGATTTCATGCGTGAGTTTTAGGAAAAAATGAATGAGAGCATCGACTACCTTTTCTCTCAGAAAGCGAAAGATGCCGAGCAACACTTAAATTTAATGCTAAGTGAGCAGGGTTTCCATTTTCTATTTCTTCTATTACTACAGAGGGCACTTGTTCACAACTGAGGGACAAAAACTATATGCATAAATTTTCCCTTTCCCAATTAAATTTTCATTTTTTCTACTCACAGTTCTCTAATTCAAATGTCTGGTGGAGAATTCAGTCAAAAAGCCTCAAGCCTAAGAATATGGGATTTGTCAATCCATAATGTACAGCGCATCTCAATTTTCTCTGCTATTTCTCTTTTCTCTAACAATTTCTCATAGCACTATTTCAAAGACACAGTTTCAGAGGAGCAAAACAAACTTATTTCATACAACTCCTACTTCTTGCATATTTATTTTCTTTAACCTCTTGAAATCGAAGGATCAGATATAATGGAGAAACATCACACTAAGGTGGTAGGGAAAGTATCCTGGGGTCTTTACGAAACCTGTTTTCTCACAAATTGAGAGAGAAATCATCCATCTTACTCTCACAATGAATCTCTCTTGTACTCCATGGCATGAGGCCAAGCTATAAGATGATGTCTTAATGTTGCAAGCTAGTCAAAGGAACACCTTAATGATGTTTCGTCCTGCCTGAATATTAAGAGAGAGCTTCGAAGACTCACGCAGTATGTTCTACAGTCTGATGATTGCTTGCATTTCCCCCATTAAGGTGAAACAAAACAACAGTTATTTCAACAATTTATGCTAAAACTATAGATATAAATATGTTTATACTGCCAAATAGTCATCAGCCAAGGCTTGTAATTAACTACATACTTTATGATCAGCACATAAAAAAACCAGTTGTGCACAGGGAAAAAGCTATTTTTGAGGACAAAGCATTTGAAAATTAAACAGAAATGACAGAAAATAAAGTGGTTAAGGAATAAAAAACTTTAATGACAGGACAAAATAAGGTGACTTCCCTTATCAGGGACAGTGTAAAACATTACCTATTATATGAAGAAAATGATTTCTTTCTCTTCTTTAGTGTGTTTTAAATGACTGCTAATGTGCCAGGCGCTCTACCTGGGCCAGTGGGAGACACAAAATGAACGTGGGAGGGAGGCGGCCCTCAAGGAGGCAGGAGAGCTGCATCCATTCTCCAGTTTCCAAATCTTGCTACTTTTTACTATACCAAAGACCCTATATTTTTTAACAAATCATTTCCTTTTCTTTGATAGTTTACCTCATTGATGTATAGAAAGCCAATTAAAATACCGACTTTATTGTGTCTTTATTATAATTAACAAAAAAACGAGAATTAGTTTTGAAAACCAAATAATTTACATAATAATAAATGTTCATTCTTATAGACCCACATAAAGACATAATCTGTGTTCTCAGTAATGCTCTAATCCAGGGGGTCTTAAAGCGCAGTCTCAGATAAAGCACCATCTGCATAACCTGGGAACTTGTCAAAAACTCAAATTCTCAGGCCCCTCATCTGAATCAGAAACGCTAAGGGTGGGGCCAGCAAGTCCTCCAGATGATACTGACGCACACTAAAGTTTGAGAACCACTGCTCTGATCTAGTCCATTAAGCTTTAAATTGGCATTTTATAAAATAGACAAGACTTCCATACTACTAACTCAACCTTGTATACTTTTCACAGGCTGTGTTTGCAAGGAGACTCAGAGGCAGGTAAAATTTGCCTTTCTGTGGCTTTCAAGAAGCCAGATACCCCTTCCTCCTAGCCAATCATTTTGCTGAGATTTTTGGTTTTGATCTATTTTCACTTGAACATCTCTTGAGACAATAAAGAAAGTTGAGGTACATTTCCTTGAGCTGAGTTAGCAGTTCCTAGCCAGAATATGCACTTTTTTTTTTATTTGAGGTAACATTGGTTTATAACATTATATAAATTTCAGGTGCAAATTATTATATTTCAGTTTCTGTGTAGGTTACATCATGTTCACCACCCGAAGACTAATTGCAATCCGTCACCATTAACAGCTGCCTTGTCATCTCTTTCACCCTCCTCCCTCCCCATTTCCCCTCTGGTAACCACCAATCTAATCTCTGCACCTATGTAGAATATGCTTTCTTTTAAATCTTCACCCCATTACCTTTCATCAGCTTAACAGTGTCATTAATTACTTTAACATAAATCCAAGCTGAACATTTTTCAAAAAAATTAATACTACACTTACTAGTTATTTCAGATCAGAAATACTGATGCGTTCTTTATAAACACTTGCATTTTTAAACACTTATTAGAGTAATATATTGCTTTAATTTAGATATTGAAAAGTAGAAGAGGACTCTGCAAATTAAGATGAGTTTCCCAAAATTCTTTTACAATCATCATCTTCCACAGAGAAGCATTTAAATGAAGGACAAAAACCTATCAAGAGAAATAAATAATTTTTAACCTATATAAAGCATAAATTGTGAAATCTCTACATCCCCATAAATCAATGCCTTATTTCAGAGTGACTAAATACAAGGATCGATTATTTCAATACACAGAGGTGCATAGTTTTGTTCTTTTTTTCTTATTTTTAATGCTTTCCCTAAGTATTTAATTTACAGACAGACTCTTCCTTTCGTATTTGATGCTGAGTCTCTGATAAAAACATTTCTTACCGTCTCAGGGCTTCTCAGAGGTTGACAGAAGCCTGAACTTCTTCCATTTTTTGAGGTCCTCAGTATTTTGCGTAAACAGTAATAAAAGATATGCCAAAGGTGGTTACAAAAACAGTGGTATATCCCAAAAGTCTAAACTAAACCTAGCATATTTATCACATTAAAAGATATTGTAAAAGCTCATTTAGAGATGACTAAATTTGAGGTGCATCACCAATGTGAGGCCCTGGACCACAGCCCTTCTCCACCTCTGCCTCAGCCACTGCTACAGGTTCTTTGCTGTCTACAACTAGTGTTACACTAAATTAGAACCTCTCTCTGGAGGAAAAATTGTTCCCTGGCCTTAACCTTCCTGGGTTAGGGAGAGAGGGATATGAAGGAAGGGCCAGAGGGGGCAATGGTTGACACTGCTATCTGCTCCTTCTTATCTTTCTGCCAGGCAATGAAGAGGAAGGAAATAGAGGCAATACATCGATCTGCTAGTAGACTAACTTAAATTTCATACATGCACAGACAGGAACTTCTGGAATAGAGCTACAAGACTTGACGGTCTCACAGGAAAACATGGCATAACCCTAAGTGTCTGTCCTTCCAGATGGATGGTTGAAAGTAGCAGTCACTGAAAGTTGCATTTCTCCACAAAGGATCAGGAAATTTGTGCCTCCAGTCAAACCTCACTGAAGAAAACCCCAATGCAAAGTCATAGAAATAGTCAATACCTTAGTTTGCAGAAGACATTTTCTACTTTTTTTATAGGAAAAAAAAGAAGAAAAAGTGAATGCCATTTCTGAACCTACCTGCATACCTTGAAACAGTCAGGAATGTAGGGAAACAGACAGGAATTCATGAATCCTGTCTATTTCCTGAAATCCTACAGAAGTGCCTGACCTCCCATCCCTGTAGCAATATATTATAAGTAAGAGAAAGGTGGGGAACGTTCCTGCTTTTCTTTTAAAAATATTATTGTATTCCAGAGCCATTTAGTAGATGTTCAACAATTGGGGCAGGGGGAGTGGGTAACTGAAATGATGAATGTCTACGAGCTTGGATGACAGAGCAGGCTCCCTAGAAAAGGAATATATTTAAAAAAATGAGTTTCTTAAAATTCTTGAAAGGCACAAGACTTCCAAGGGAGACCTCCAACTAAAAAATAAAAATAAATAAAACCAATCTAATACACGTCATCTGGCAAAAGAATTCTACCATCTTGACATTTTTGTAGGCTTCCAGTCACTTCTGTGACCTCGCTATCATGTAGAGCAAGAAGCATATGCAACTTTCAGGCTTTTTAAAATTCCAAACTAACTCTTTCAGGACATTGGGATCTAACAGGAGGTCTTGCTACACAGTATCCAAGTGCCCTCATAAAGTTAGTAAACAACCTAGATGTTTAATTTCTGTATCATTTGGATCTCTGTCAATTCCAAAGGACACAAGTTTCAACCCAAGCTGCCTTAAGGTAAAACTGAATTTATTGGTTCATATTTGAAAATATCCAGAGGTAAGACCTTGTTTCAGCCACAGCTGGATTCAGAGCTCAAATCTCCCCATCTGGGGTTAGGTTTTCTCCAATTCCCAGGGATGCATCCCTGAGTATTAGCGTTACACCCAGACTTCACATGGCTCACATCTCACTCTGCAAAGTCCAGCAGAAGAGAGTCCACTTCCATAAAGGTGGCAAAAAAAAAAGTCGCAAAACTGTGCCTTTCCGTGTCTGATTGGCCAGGCCTGGGTCACATGCTTGTTGTAAACCAATCCCAGCTGCCAGGAGGACACAATGCCTGCTACGGCCAGACCTGAGTCATGGGCCCCTCTTTGAGTAGCCGTCGACATTACCTAAAGCAAATGGGCTGAGGGGTGGGGTTCGGGGTTCGGGGTGGGGGGTGCGGGTATCTTCCAAAACAGGAGTACAGTATCCATAGAGGGGTGAGTAGCTGGAAGCAAAATCACAAATATCCACTACAAGCTGTTAGTAAACCCCACCCCTCACATATGCTATATTAGTGGACCAAAAGGAGATTTAAAAGAAAAATCATTCGACCGAGGCTCTTAATCAAACTCTATAGTTTTAAAGAGTGTAACCTCACACCTTGTGTCCAAAATGTCGCTTCAATTGCTGGCTTTCCACTTGTCTCCAGGAGCTGGAACACACTGCCTTTCAGAAAGCCGGCAAAGAGAGGGAACTCCCAGCTTACAACCTCGAAGCCGCCCGCCGCGCGCTGCCTAGTCCAGTGTCACCGGCAGGGGCGCGACCAGAGGGGACGATGCGGGCGCGCCCCACCTTCCCGGCGCCGCCTCAGGGACCCGTAGCCGCTTCCGAGGCGGCGCGACCCGTCCCATCCTTGGCGGCCGCCACCAACCCGCCCCCAGCGGCCGTCGGAACGGGCTGGTGGGGCGCGACACCCGGGGTCCCCAAGCCCAGGCCCCGGCCGGCCGATCGGTGGGGCCGACCCCCGCGCAAGGCGGGCGGATGGGGGCGCCCCCAGCCCTGCTCCTGCCCCTGCCCCTGCCCCTTGCCCTTCCCCTTCCCCGGCGGGCAGGCGGGCGCGGGAGGCGGCGGGAGGGCGGCGGCGGGGAGCGAGCGCAGAGTCCCCGCCCGCCCCGCGCTCGCCCCGCCCGCCCCGCCAGCGCCGCCGCCTCCCGGAGCAGCCGCGGCGTCCGCGCTCCGGCCGCGGGCCCGGCGAGGGGAAGGGCCGCCCGGGGAGCCGCGGAGGCCGAGGCCCCGGGGCGGGAGGAGCCGCGGCAGCTGCAGCCCCTGGTGCGGACCCCGGCGGCCGGTCCGGTCCTCGCCCGGGACCCCGCCCCGGGCGACGTGGGGTGCGGAGCCCAGAGGTGGCACCCACGATGGGGACAAGTTTCTCGCGGCTTGAAATGAAGGGGTCCTGAAACCGACACTCGTTTGATTTAATCAGCCTCTCCTCTCCTATTTTAAACTAGTTTAATTAGACAATGAAAAAGATAGCCTCCTGGATGACGGTAGGTTTGTAAATATAATCTCGAAAGTTTTGCATGGTATGGTTATTTGCTTATGCATATTTATTAAGCTGTTAACTCTTCAGCTAGTCAGAAAATTGCCATTTAAAATATTCTTTGAGGAACATTACAAGTTCGCTGTGGCATTCTGGCAGCGTGTTATTCATGGGTTTAGTTAGCATCTGTCTTCCCGAAGTGGTACCAAAGCCTGTCTCTTGGCGACGGGTCTTGCATGTGACACTCTTGCCCTCTAGTGCCTCACCAGCTGGGTAGCAGTTTGATGGCTAATATTAATAAGATGTTATATAACAGAAGGGTACTGGGCCGGAACTGGTATTGCTGCCACTTGTAAAGCCAAAAAGCCAGAGCCGGTGGTAGTGCGTGCTGCTGGTTCAGCTTCTCTTCTATCTGTTGAAACTTTCCCAAGCATTTTCAGCTCTTTCAACTTTAATTCCAGGTAAGTGTATCTGTTTATTGGCGCTATACATTAATGGCTCACTCATAAATGTAGGGGCTTTTAGTAAGAGATAGCAATTTTGTTTTTAATTAATCTAAGAATTTCAGGATTGAACAAGTGCCTCATTTTATTCTTGTAGAAGAAATGGAGCATTTTCATTAAATTAAGTGAAACAAAGGAATATCTTATCATTCTGGGGTAATTTTAAAGCTTCTCCTTCATAAAATTAAAGTATTACTGAGGTGGTCCCTTCTAATTGCTTAAGATCTCCACCAACAACTTATAATTATTCTTCAGCAGATTTATTAAACAGAACACATGTCTGTTGCTTGATGGACTAGAAATTTGTAAGCAGCATCAGAGATATAAACTATGACCACCCATCTATGCAGCAATGATCCCCAACACATCTTTCTGTTTGATGCAATTTGTTTTACAAACATTATTTAAAATTATGCAATTAGTAAAATTAAATTAAACTTGAAAGAAATAATCAGCCTAAGTATCAAATGTAGAATCTGTAAATTAAAAGAAAATACATGTATCTTACATTTAATATATCCACTTTTTTTTTTTGGAAGAACCAAGTTACATTCTTTAAGGGGTTTACCTAGATCATCTTTCAGCTACTTCTTCTAATATCTGGAAACTATTTAAGCCTCTAACTCATAAAGTTGAAATTTTTTCCATGTTATTTATAAACATTTTGGAGTATAGCAACATATGTAATCTGGAAGAGTTTTGAGGAAATCACTCCTAAGTAATATAAACAGCTGTATCTTAATATTGGATTAAAATACAAATCAATTGTTGAGATACATGTGAAACTGGTCTCAAACCCACTTTTTCTTTGACCTTAGAAAATATCATAGTATCAACTATTGAACAATGCTATTTGCCACAAGAGAGCAGAATGATATGGAGGAGACGCTCACAAACACCTGATATTCAGCTGAAGGGCATTTTTTTCCCTTTTCTTCAACCATAGCTCCCTATTAATATTGTATTTGAGAAGGAGATTTCAAAAATAACTTTGAAAGAGATTCTTGAAAATCAGGACTGGACATATCAAGAGGCTTGCCCTAACAGAAGCTCTTTTCTTGTCTTTCTCCAGTTAACACAGTATCTACCATCTCTGTGACATTTTTATTGTTTTTCTTTATGGTCTTGATGGTAAAACAGAATGCTTCTTTCTTTGTGTAAGTAAATATTAATATTAAACCGGTCGCATGAGTTTTTAGAAATATGAGTTTATTCATATTCTTTATAATGAAGTATTCTCAGGTTACTAAAGTATCTTAGATAAAACAGAACTTTTTTCTCTTTCTAGAGAGATTTCTTATAGTTCAGCTCAGTTGAGTTATAGCATGCCTTCTCTTTTAGTACATTTTCTTGAGAAAAGTATTGTTTCTGAAGATTACAGCAAATAGAGTAATTTGTGGTGTAACTGAAAGGTTTGTTGAAAAAATACGGAGAAGAGATAACCAGGCATTTGAGGTTCATTTTTCTGGACCGTATATTCTGCTGAAAAAGTTATTAGGAACCAGACTAAATATCAGTGGTGGATTTATCATTTCAGAATTTTAAAACCATAAAGAAATTACAAATTTTTCTTTTAATTCAGAGAATCTTATATGACTTGCTTGAAACCTAGTTGAGTTTCCACTGCTGTTTGTGATTAGTGCCAACTTTTAAACTTAACTATGTATTTGTTGAGGTATAAAATATAATCAGGGAAAACTATATTTAAATACTTTGTGATTTGTATGCACTATAAAAACAGGGAAATAAAATTAGTGATAAAAATACTATTCTCAACTAAATGGATGGCTTGGGTTTCTAATTGTTTAACAGTTTAGACAATAGGGGAAAAAAAACCAGTGGAAGTTTACTTTTCCTGTGCTGCAGAATGGTTATTGGAGATAAGCATTCATACTGAAATGTGTGAACTCTGCACACCTGTTCAGATTAGAGGATGATGCCAGACCACGAAAGTAACAGCTTGCATTATCATGATAATTAGTCTGAACAATGCTCAAAACTGAAGTTTCTCTTAGAATACCCAAGAATTGGTTTTAGAAAACCAATTGTTTGTCTGTTTGTTTTTAATAAAAACTGTATCCTTGGGCTCTGGGATGTCACAATGAGTGATTTCTCCTTTCATGTTGCTTTAACCATTTTTCATTAATTTCATGTAAGTTGCATAACCAGAAAAAATGTCAGGCCCTACTACAATTAACTTTATAATAAATTATTTCACGAAAACTCCTACAAATTACTGAGAGCTCTGACTCTTGATTACCTGTTGGCAAACAAGAGCTTAAAAAGCAAATATTGAAGTTCTTTACTAAAACCTTTAGCATCTCAAGGATGGTATCCATTTTGCATACATTTCATTTTTAAATCTCTTTCTTTGATTGCAATGTTTGAGAATAACGTGAAGCTAGATCTGGATTGTTGGCCTGGTTCTGCCACAAGAGACGTTGTCTTGGACAACTCCCTTGTTGCCTCTGGGCCTTCGTCTCTCACCTGGAAAATGAGGATCTCAGAGATCCTTTCCTATCCCCTTTGTCATCCAACACTGTGGAAATTGTTCTGCAGGAAAGGACAAATAGATGTGAAAAAAATTAGAGAATAATGCAAAATTTAACTTGTTGATAAGTGTTGATAAGTACTAGAGTTTTAGGAGTAGATATGTAAGTTATTAAAGTCCACAGTTAACACGCACAGAATGGTTACCTTGTACTAGGCACTGTTCAAAGCACTTTACATTTAGTTTTTAGCTCATGTAATCTTCACAAAGATTATTTGAGGCAGATGCTATATTTCTATTTCACAATTGAGGAAATTGAGGCACTGAGAGGTTACCTACTTAAGATCACTTCCCTGGCAACTGGTAAAGCTGGGATTCAGTTTGAGTCTGGCTCCAGTGTACCTGCCCTTAATCACTATATTACATTGTCTATAGGTTTTCAAATATTTGTGCTTGATATACTTCTTGATATAACAGAGGCAATTCATGCTCCACTCAAATCATTTCCATCACGTCTGCCCCTGCATATGAGACGATCGTTCATTTATTCAAGAGAGATTTGCTCAGCAGCTACTATTGTGCCATGCTTAAAGCAGTGCCCAGGCCCATTCCATGTGGTGCCTTCCCTAATGAAGTATATACAGTGTAGTTGAGGTGATTTCTTTCTCCTCTCTTGCTACCCCAATTGGGATGAGTGTCACTTGTTTTAAAAGATGCCCAAGTTAAGTTCACGCGTTCCACTTCTCGGCGGCCCAGGGTTCACCGGTTCGGATCCCAGGTGCGGGGACATGGCACTGCTTGGCAAAAGCCGTGCTGTGGTAGGTGTCCCACGTATAAAACAGAGGAAGATGGGCATGGATGTTAGCTCAGAGCCAGTCTTCCTCAGCAAAAATAGGAAGATAGTCAGTAGTTAGCTCAGGGCTAATGTTCCTCAAAAGAAAAAGAAGAAAAAACAAGATGCCCAAGGTAAGAGAGGGAGAACCTTTCTGACTTTTTTGTTGATGTGTCCGTAGGATAGAGCGTAATAGAACCAGGACCTCAGACCTCCTCAGGACTCCTTCTCAGATTTCTTCATTGTTCCTCTCTGTTCTTTTTGCATCATCTCTCTGCGGATTGGTGGCCTCTGCTTCTCTGGTTCATGTAACCTGCCCTAAAACATAGCCAAAAACTGGTCTGTAACTTTACGTCTTATGGTCCGGGTAAACAATGAGAGATTGGATTAATACTCTCTTGTTCCCGTGACTCTGAAGAAGGATCAAAATGACGAGGTCAGATTCTATCCTGAAAGCTGCATTGGCAATAGTTGTAAGGCCCCGCTATTAGGCATATGTCAATGCATACATTCTAGCTCAATTTAAGAGGATATGGGCAGACCTTTCCCCTTTAAGTCATAGAAACAGAAGAAACAACAAGCAGCGGTGGGATAGTTTTCTTCTCTTGCCTCACTGGATGGCATAACACTGAGGGAAGTGAACAAAATGTATTCTTTCCTTCGTAATTTCTAAATACAAAGGAGGAAGGAAAATTGTAATTGAAAGTCTTTTTCCATGTAATGTGTCAAACAAAGCTAATGC